GGTCAAACAAACAGATGGTAAGATCTCGCATGATCGTTCATCTGATCTTGTATGACCTTGTGAGATCAGGCGGAAATCGTACAAAAAATCGTGGTCTCAGAAGTCTTACATCAAGTCTTACTCTAAGATTTTTGATAAATCCTGTTGTCTTATCAAATATCACTGTAAGATTATAGAAAATCTTATGCGACGGTAAGATCTGACAAGAATCTTACAGTAAGAATTGGTGTAAGATTTCTGAGACCACGATTTTTTGTAGGATTTCCTATGATCGTACAAGACTTAATGTCAGATTTTTTTTGACTTGGGTTGTTTTCTTTGTCGTCTACTAATTTTGAAATGATTTCATACTGCTCAGTAACTATACAGCACATTATCGTATATCACGAATGATTTTATCATGTGCTCGGAGAAACATATTAATTTCATCCACTGTTTTCTCTCACTAAGACTTGTAGAGACTCAACATGTCGACTGCGAATTTCCTTAATGGAACCGTATAAATAAGTCGCTCTACATGATTTCAATCGATTTTAGTCAACTAGTCACTGCTCTCAATAGTATTATACGTTGCATTATACTATCAGGTTAGTTGACTTCACTTGAAATATAATTGTACAACGACAATAAATTATTTTCATTACATTTGACAGTTGGATTATTGTCCACAATCTTCTACAATACATTCCTTCCAGTCAACTTTACATGCAAGTAGGACTGCAATACTTTGTTTTTTTTTGTGTTGAGGATTGTTCTTTGAAATCAAACAACAACGTGAAACATGATTAACAGATGTACACAGGCAAAGATTCTTGAAACTCAAAGTGTCTTTTCATATAATGTTTGAACGGACTAATCACATCAGGATCATGTTTAGACATTGAGTGAAAATGAGCAATAAAAATGATTTTGAGATGAAATTTGAGATCCTACAAGGCACAACACATTTATATTTTGTCATTTTCTACTGAAATGCATGCAATCGCACAACTTTCCCTGAATACTTCCGTAAAAATTCAATCATAAAAACAAAGCTTTCGAAAAACCTTTATATGCTAATACTTTTTGTGAAGCATCTTTGCTGGTCGTTTAGCAAGTTATTCCGGTGTTTTCCAAATTTGGATTCCAGCATTGTCCTGTTTTAATCAAACTAGAAAAAAAAGAATAGGACGTGTTAATTTGTAAGTCGATCTTTCAGCGGTGTATTGGTGAAACCCTTAGTGTCTTCAATATTCGGATCGGACTCGTCTAGCTTTACCTTTTTTCGTAGCGGAACATAGCCGTCAAAGCAGAACTCTCTAAAGATACATTGGATCAACTTTTGTCTATGTTCCCTATTAGTCTATTTTTTTAACCTGCAGTCTTATGCTCACTGTTTCTAAACGATGAAACTAACATATATAATGTATGAAGTTCCAATCTAGTAATACGTTAAACTGAGTGAGATAAACTTTCTATTGCTAATATCGTGGTAACAGTACGTTTCATTGATGTGAACTGATCAATGAATGATTGGATTTTAACATTTAATGAATTCCCAATGATGGATTCTAATCTCTATGATAATGCGCATTTCAGTTTCTTTCAAGTTAAGTCCATTAGTAGAACGTAAAAGTCTATTTAGCTGTTTTTCTCCATATCGACAATAATGAACAAATTGATATTGTCGATGACACGATATTGTGAAATTCGTTTAGATGTAGGTTATAATAGTGTTCCATGTTCGAACACTGATTGTACGCTTACCAGTTAGAATAGACGAAGGTTTTATTACACATTGCCATAGCTTTATATGAGCAATGATTACTCAAATACACAAAAAATAACAAAAGACTGATAGCATAATCGTTCAACTTAATATTTGAAACATCTTTTTTATGAGAATATGCATATAAGAGTACGTTATTGAAGACGCTGCATTTTTCACACCAATTGTCTTGATCAGCAGCACTCATAGAACTCACTTGTTCGCTTGATCAGAATATATTGTTTACTGCATGCAGTCACTTCAAGAAAGATGATCATACTTGCTGTAACATGCTCAACTTCGGTTATCTTGCAGGTTATGGATGTGAGTGTGTCTATTCGTCTTTCACATCAGCACCCAATGTTGTCACAACTGAGAGATACAGAGGTCAACAAGTTTCTTGACAAAAGTACATTAGTTTGATCTCTTAATCTTAAAAGAGTCGGCTGTCTTCATTCAATTTATACCAATTCGAGCACTAGTTATCCTTCACATGATTCGACTAGGCATAGAAATTGATACAGAGGTTCGCATCATTTTTCTACCTGTGATACGATATATTTCAGTAATTCTGTTTTCTTTCAGTCGTACTAGGAAAGCCAGAGGATGAGGAATAATAGCAAGAAGAAAACATCGATGACGATGTGAGACTGTCAATCTGCAGTCAACAATACCCGAATTTGATCGTTTTCTGATTTTATTTTACTATTGAACTAAAATAGCAATGTGATACATATGTATACTTATAGCACAATGCATACCTAGAGAAAATTTTCATCAATATAAAATTCTAGACTCAATCGCTTCTTTAGTCAATCTATTACTTTGACTTCGTTGAATTTTTATTCGACTTCGTACTTCTTTGTATTCATGTCGATCGGCTGCCGATGGACGCAACCAAGTAACGTTAGAGCAACAGCCCCATTGTCCTTGTTGTTTATGTTGTGTAGTTAAAAATAAGACTTGATTGACTCTGGAATCTATTGTTGTCTGTCCACGAATTTTCGGTCCAAACGGACAATAATCGCCCGAGCATAACATACAATAATCGGCTAGGTAACCACCAAAGGCATGTCTCTGTGCATTAAACCAATCAAATGAGAAACAGTGTTGCGAGCCATCTAGAAAGTAGATAAGTGTCACAGCAATACTTGATGAACGAATGTCAAGTAGTCGCTCTACATTGTTGGCATTCGTCAAGAAGCGTGATCCATTTAGAAGAGCCAAATCGAAAATGTCCTGATTGACTTTAAGAAACTTCACATAAGGTTGAAATATGAAATCGGGTTTGGCAGCAAAAGTGAGATGTCTTGGTGGTATCGTTTTTCTTCGAGATGAATGCAAGTAGCCATTGTACTGATAAAAATTGCAATTGCGTCGTACAATTCTTTTGTTGGCATTATCTGGTGATTCACTGTACTTTTTCAATAGATCAATCAATTCCCAACGGTTTCTTTTGTCCCAAGATACTTCACATGAAGAATAACTATGCGATGATTCATAAGAACATTTTTTGCAAAACCGAATGGTTTTATTAGTACCATACTTGCCTTTTCGTCGCATGCTGCCGTTGTCAAATGAGAATTTCTTCTTTGACTTTTTTTCAAAGCAATATTTCACTGTTCTTCGAAACATGTTAGGCAATTACAGCGAGAACGTAAACTCAACTTACATGCAACCACATGAGTCATGTTCACAATTTGTTAGTGAGACTTTTCAAAGACAGTCAATTATTTGTATAGTTGCCAGACATTTTTCTCAAAACGCTTTCATTGATTATGGAATTTGACTATCAAATAATCCTAAACAATGTCCCGAGAGTCTCTTTATCAAAAGTCATTTTCGAGGATACACTTACATATAAAATTGGAAACAAATTAAGAAGGCATGTATGTCACTGAAGACAAAACCCATACCCACTACTACGAAACAATACTAATAATCCAGCAAGACATGGACTATTGGATTACGGCGAAAATTAATACAACAATACGTTGTTTTACATAGCTGAAAGAATAGTCCTAGAAACTTTATGCACAAAAAACTGCATCATTAACTGATATCAAGTGCATCATTTTTTTTCGTCGATCAGAAAGAATCCCTTCATTTCCGAATCGAATTTAGATTACTAACATTATAAAAGTATTTTCAACAAGTAACTTCATGAAACGTAAAGCATTCATTTGAAAATTTCAGCTGAGTTGTAATCTGTTTTGTTTGTTTTCATTCATTTTTTTTAGGTTTATAATCAAATATCGACATCTACTTAAGAAATTGAGTTGGTTTCTATTCGATTTACGGAATAAGCAGCCAATCATGTGTTAATGTATGTCATGTCTGTGTATCAGCATGTTAATTATTCTGGTCCATTCGTTTGTATATTACTCACATAAAAATTGCATTCAATACAGAAAAAATATGCACTCATCAACACTGGAAAAGAGTCTTCGATAATCATCATTGACTCAATTACGTTTTCGCTAACATATTATAAATCATAATGATAAATCTTTTTTTCAAGTCGTCAACATCAATTATTCAGTTTGTTTGGCATCGAACAAAGCTCTTCGATATAAGAAAAAGACTATTCATCTATCAAAACATAAACCGTAAATTGCTAATTGTTTAAAAACCGAATCAAACACGATTTTTTTTATATACAAACATTTAAATTGTAAAAATTTTCTTAAAACAAGTCGATAGTTAATGCTGTTTTATTCATGAGACAAATTAATAAACTTTGACATTGTCTTAGTAAAAAAATAGTTTAACAGCTTTGACATGAAATTCAAACTATGATGTAATAATTTGAAATATCTTGTCACATAGTAATCAATTTCAGCATATTTTACATAACTATCTTTCCTTCGATGTTTTAATAAAAGAAAAAATCGAAAATGTCCGAAACTCAAATCAAAATTGATTCTATTCTAAGTATACCTATCTTATTATCTTTTTGTTGATACATAAATTAATTCACTTTTTTTTCTTCTTTAGATCAAATACTTAAACCATAGCAGCTTCAATCATTTACACATTGAGTAAATGCTTTTATCATATATTTGAAATGCATTTAACATAAGAAAAAATTAAAAATTAACTTTTTGTACTACAATTTTATTTTTTTTTTTGCAATAAAAAGAATAAAAAAATCATAGGCTTTTACTTTCTTTCATGACTCATTTAAAATAATTATGTAAGAATAGAAATTTCTAGGAAAAAAATTTTATTTTATCTTTCAAGATTATTGATCATGTCAACTGCTGATTTCGAAAGTCAAGGAGATGAATTAGATGCCTTAACCAGTATTCTGGATGAAACAACATTTGAAATAAACAAAAAATCTACAAATACAGAAAATACACACGGTACTCTAGTCATTGAAGTGACACTACCTGATGAATTTTATATTGAATATCATCCAAGTATAAAATAGAATTATTCTAGGATTTAATTTTCTTTTTCATAATGTTCAATAGATCAGCGTCGTCGTGTTCAATATTTACCACCAATATTTCTTCGTTTTACTTTACCAAATGATTATCCATCGATATCATCACCATCATTTCAACTTGAATGTATTTGGATGAATGATAAACAGGTAAACAAATAAGTAAAAATAAGGCTGTATCGAGAGAAAAGATATTGTTGTCTATATTAATCATGAACAGTAATGAGCATAAGAAAAATGTTTTTGTTTTGTTCTATTACTTAGAGTAGAAAGGGTATGATTCTAATAATCATTTTCTATTCTGTCAAACATAAATCGAATTGTCAGTCATCTGCAATTGTATTCTACTCTAATAAGAGGAAATGTTTTCAACTAATCGATTGTTTTTGGATTTGAACTCTGTGCATATAGAACAGTCTCGTGAGACACAATGGATCTTAAAATGATAAGTTCTCTTACACCTTCTCTCTAGAGTTATCGGTATTTTAATAGATTTTCAGCTGCTGACTTGGTATATACCAACAATTTGAATGAGGATATATCAATCTAAGTTTTTGCACAGAGACAGATCTCTCTTCCAGTAGAATGCCCTGAAAATTGACGCTTAAAAGGATCTGCTTTTTGGACCTTTAATATCTAGGGAAGGAAATATTCTTTTAAGCTGACATTTTCAGGACATTCTAGTAACAAATAGGTCTGTCTGTGGATAAAATATGAGATCGAAATACGGTCATTCGATTTGTTAGTATATACCAAGTCAGAAGCTGAAATTCTAGTAAAATGCTTATAACTCTGAACAGCAGACCTAAAGAGACTTTTCTATTTGACGTTTTTCATATCTCACTGAAGTCCGAATTCAAAAGTAATAGATCAGTTGAAAAAGTTCCCATGTAAGATAAACATTTGTATGAAAAAGAAAACAATACAAAGACAAACCTGTCTAATTGTTCTAGATCAAGATGAGTTCTCGTATTTTTGTTTTGTATACCATGACGAAGAAGGAATTAAAAGAAACATCATATGACTTTTAAAATCACAGCGATACTAAATTTGATTGTGTCTTTAGAATATGCATATATTTCAATTGATAATTAGATATTATGGAAAACTTCGAGTATGATCTAATGAAGACAAATTAAGGGTAACATACTTCAACCAGTTGCTGTGATTTGTCATATCTATATCGAAAATCAATTGACCTATCAGTCGCAAAATAAGCTGTAAAACAATTTCATATGAATTGAGTTCATAAGAAGCATTTAACATAAAGATTTAAACTGCTGCTATGTACCAGCTGTTTTGGTCTGCACTGAGATCATCGAAATATTAGTTTGGTTGAAGTAGGCTAACGACGAAATCTCTAAAGGTATACAAAACTGAGGTTTTCCTACTTAGCTCATTACTTGAAGATCTGCAGACTAGAAAATTTCCTTCAGAGGACATGAGTTCATATTATAATTTAACTATGATAAAGTTAGAAGTTTAACTAAGAGTTTTCTGTTCGGCTTTGATTTTTAAAAGTATCAAGCTCTTTTATGATTGTAGAAGGTTCTAATGAACAATTATTATCACTGGAAGATGTTCGACATATCCGAATTCAAACATTGAAGTTAGTTCACATATAATTGCTCACAATTGACTGAAATGATTGAAAAGCTTCAGCAAGTTTAAAAAAAACCACGTGTTTTTACCATAGTCATATTTTAGAGTAGGAAAAACAAAATGATCTGAAATTTTCACAATAAACTATTCTGGTTAACGTCTATCTTTTAAATTTGTCTAGAATAGCAGTGGAGTCAGGGTTTGGGGCTGGATGAAGCTGAGGTTCCAACTCCACGGTTTCATCAGTAGTCTGTGCTTGTCCACATCTCTGTCAGCAAATCCTGTTTGTATGAAAACGATTCATGATCTTAAAAGTCAAATATAGTAATATCGAATATAAAAGAAAATATTTTCAAAATATCATTCGTCTTATATTCTTATTTGTTTTCATTAGTTACAAATATTATCAGAAAATCTAAACAGTATGTGGTTGGATAATAGTAATGAACCAATTCTATTTCTTTGGTACACATCATTGAGCGCACAAGCCCTTGAATGGCTTAATATAATAACAACACTTGATTTAACCCTATCATTTCCTTCGACAATAACAAAATCATTACAACCTCAATTAACTTCCACACAAGTCGCAGCAACTATTCATAATTATGAATGTGAAAAAAAATTAATTCTTCTTTCACGTACTATAATAACATGTCCTATATGTCTTACTGATGTTGGTGGGAATGATTGTTTTTTATGTTATTCATGTTCAGGTACTGCTTGTAAATCATGCATTAAATCATATCTTGAAACCATAATTACAGCTGGACAAGTTAAATCTATAACATGTCCAATAAATTCATCATGTAATATTGAATTAACACCAGCACAAATAGCATCATCTGTTGATAAAGAAACATTTCATCGTTATGATCGTCTTTTATTTCAATTATCTATTGATTCAATGGATGATATTATGTATTGTCCACGTTGTCAAAAACCTGTTATTGTAACACACGGAACAGATGATCATCTTAAAAATACATTAGGTGAATGTGCAACATGTACATTTGTATTTTGTACTTTATGTGGCAAAACATTTCATGGTATTAATCCATGTCAATATTCTGAGAGTATGTTATATAATTTGAATATTAAAAAAATGTACAACGTCAATTATCTAATTTGGTTTTTTTTTTTGCTGTAGATAAATTAAAAGATATTTATAAAGAATATCAAAATGCAACACGAGAAGAACGAATAGCACTTGAACAAAGATATGGTAAAATTTTTAATCGTCTTATGGATGATATGGCTTCGATAGAAACAATTAAACAAACTGCTCGACAATGTCCTAAATGTTCGATCTTTGTTGATGTATGTATTCATTGTTTTCAATATAAACTTTTATTTCTTTTTATTTTAGAAACTAGATGGTTGTAATAAGATGACATGTGTGAAATGTCATTCTTATTTTTGTTGGACATGTTTAGGTTTATTATCAAAAACTGATCCATATGGTCATTTTAATCGACCTGAAAGTAAATGTTTTAATAAATTATTCGAAGGTGTACCGGGAATGGAATGGTGATGATGATAACAAGAAGATTTTATTATTATTATTACTTAATACTATACTACAAATGAAAATTTTGTGTACATCAGTGCTATTAAATATCATTGTGCGTTCAATATACGAATTCACAAGAAAATTATTTTTTTTTGTATTATTTTTTTAATAATATAAAAATAACTCGAGAGAATAGGACAAAATTATTTTGAATGATTAAACCAGAAATTTAAAATATTAACAAATGGTCTTTGTTGGAGAAAATGTGGAAACGATTAGAGTGTTAATCCTTCTATTTGAAAAAATAATATACTTTTAATAGAATTAATCAATAGAAAAAATTCTTATCTCATTTCGTTCGAGAGATTTTTCTTGAGATCACCAATTTCAGCCATTGTACCTGTGATTTCTTAATAAAACGATATAGAAAACAAACCGTAAAAAAAAGCTTAATAAATTCATTAAATCATATTAGATCTTAAGAGTTATTTCAACGCGTTAAAATTCAAATTTTTTGCCAATAATTACGATTTGTGACATGAAGTCTTGTCGAAGTTTAAAAGTCATCTCTCTAAGGATTTCATTATTATTATTATTTTATGTTCATATTTCATATAAGAAGAAGCACAGTGATCAGTTTATTTTCTTGCAATCGTACAATCAATAAGTGTTTTTTTTAAGAGCTGAGAAACAATCCTTCTTGAAAGGTATATTTAATATTGACGTAGAAGTAGCGAGAAATTTTGATACTCGAAAGAAAAAGCATAATAAATAATTTAAAATAATTAGACAAGTATTCTTTTTTTTTTTCTTTTCAAAAAAAGTTGAAATCCATCCATATTATATACATATATTTTGATTTATATTCAATTTGTTTTGTCTCATTCAAAAACATAATTAATATTCATTTCTTTAGTGTAAATAGTCTTCTAAAGAGATGTTTAAACTACGAAAGAATTTAATTTAATATAGATAAAATATAAACGATTGTTTTTTTTTCATACAAGAAAAAAAAAATATTGTTCCAAAAAGTTTCTTTTATTTCTTGCCTTTGGGTTTTTTCATACGTTTTGTTTTTAATCCAATTAAATCTTCGCCCATCATCTTAATACGTTCACGTGTTTGACATTCAGGATTATCTTCACCAGCATTATCATCATCTATGAAATGAAAATATTTTTTTTTGATATCATTGAAAAATATCTATACGAACCACCATAAATATTTCCTTTAACTGTTGATGGAGGATTAATACGTGTATTATATGCCGGTAATCGTCCATCACCAGCATATTGAAGCTAAATAATAAAAATTATATTAAAGATATATTAATATTTCAATTATATTTACATCTAATTGTCTCATTTCTTTAAGTGTTCCTTCTAAATCTTTTGCTTCAAGTTCTTCAACAAGTTTAACAAGTTTTTCTTCTGTTGTACCAAGTAAATCAAGAACATAATCATTTGATTGTGGTGATATAACTGTTGTTGGTACTTGACTCTTGGTCTATATATAGAAAATGAAAATAAAGTAGAAAAAAAAAAATAACGATTTATGTTTTATTTTTTTTTTAAACATACGCCTTTAAGATGATGTAATTTATCTGCTAAATGTTCAATGCCTGATTTAACTTCAATCATTTTTTTCATTGTTTTTTCCATTTTTGTTGCATTATCATCACGTCGTTTATCACTTTCATCAAGTTTTTCTTGAGCTTGTTCAAGAATACGTTGACCACTAGAATAAACAAATTGTTTTTTTGTTTTTTTTTAAAAAAGAAAAACATAATTTTTTATTTCTTTACGTTGATGTTTTAGCTTCACCACTATATTTCATTTCTTCAAATTCTTTATTTAAACGTGCTTTTTCTTCTCGTAATTTAGCAACATTTTGTTCTGAATCTTCTTTCATTTTTTCTAAATGTGCTGTTGTACTATCTTGAGACATAAAACGTTCAACAACTTCCTATGCAAAAAAAAAAGAATTTTTGTAACAAAAAAAAATTGTTTTTTGTTTTCTTTCTATTCATAAGAAAAACAACCTGCATTGTACTTGCACCAGTTGCTTCTTTAATACGTGAAAAAGCATTTTCATACATATCAATTTTAGTTTGATCTTGTTCAGATAATTTATCTTTTAAATCTTCTTGTGGACTTGTTGGACGTTGAAGTGCACGACGATCAACACGTTCAGCATGTAATTTTTTTTCTTCAGCTTCACTTTTTAATCCATTTAAACGAACTTCACGTTCTTTACGTTCTCGATAAACTTTATCTTCACTTTTTTTTAATTCATTTTTAGCATTTTTTTGTGCTAAATCAGCTTCAAGTGCACTACGTTGTGCTTCATGTAATTCTTGTTGAGTACGTCGAATTTGCATAGCCATAGCATCAAGACGATTTGCATACGTTAAACTTTCTTGAATTAAATGGGATTTTATTTGATTATATGTTCGTTGAATAGTTACAGCTTCTGTACATTTTAATTCAGCTTTATCAAGTCGATTTTCAAGTTGACGTAGACGCTATGAAATCAAACAATAAAGTTTTCTTTTTATTTTTGTACTAGCAGACTTAGTTTATGTAATGAATTCGAAGTAGTAGTTCGTAGAGACTTAATCAAGTATTGAAAAGTAAAAATGGGCATTTCCGAAAATCGTTCTGCTTTGTTTTGATTTATATATATACTCTCCGCACTTTGCTCTTTCAAAACAAAAATGTCGAAGGTAATATGATGCTACATTTACATCATTCATTAATTCAAAGTACAATTTAAAAAAAAAAACTTATCAACAAAACTTAGCTAAGTTCATTTATTAATTATTAAAATTTAATTCAATTATAACAACTATTATTTCCATGGTGATGATCACTTTGGAGAGAAGTATGTGAAAATAATTGATTTATTTTACTAAAATACACCTTCAACAATAATTTTATTTTTAATTGAAGGTCATCTCATGTTGTACAAAGCGCAACGTTGACACAAATTAGGTTCGCGTAATGATAGTTTTTCTCAGACACAAAACATTAAATACTAATAGTAACTCTGAAAGCATTACGGGAATCGGAACAAAACCTTTTTACGGGAATGGAAACGAGAAACAAAAAAAAACAGTTGTTCTCACAAGACACTAATTTATAGTCATTCATTGAACAAGCAAACTAAATACTTCAACATGACTGTAGCAATGTCTAAAGTAGTGTCATGTCTCCAAATGACTTCACTTTATTCAACATTTCAATTAAATAGCACATCACTGTACAAATGATAGAGATCAAACTATGATATCTACTATGGTAGACATACTGAATATGGCTATAGATGATAAAGTTGTTAGGGGTTCACAAGAGAACCTTCTTAGATGCTTCCTTTCGGTTTGAAAGATTTTTCGTCTATAGCTACGACAAAGTGTTCTAATAAAAATCCTAGAAGGATTTAGGTACCCGTGAATATTTGAGTAAGCTTTGGTGTTTTTAATATGTTTATTTTCTAGAGACCCGAGGTTTTCTGAAAAGTTGCATTTTTGAATTTCATTCTGAAACGTTGTACATATAAAGAAATCAGTTAGACTAGTTTTCATACAAAAATTAAGAAATTGTGAAAAAAGTCTCTTGGAGATATGGAACTTTCATAAAATCCATTTTAAATGTCATATCCATGGAAATGAGTCTATATCTTGAAAGTCTCATATTTTAAAGACATTTTGTTTAAAACTTGTGAATTTTTTTTATAGAAGTTAGTCTAGTTGAGTTCTCTATATATATGCAAAGTTTCAGGTCAAAAGTTTGAAACTACGAGTTTTTCGAAGAATCGGGGGGCTGTAGAAAAAACTTCGATAGCTTAGTTAAATATCAATATAAACCTAAATCCTATTAAGGTTTTTATTAGGATACGATGCAATTTTTATAGGCAAAAACTCATTGAAATCAAAATGAAACCTTTGAGAGAGTTCCCTATTAAATAGATTGTATTGATATATTCTATGAATTTTGATATTTTGAATAAATTTTCGAACCTTGATGAACAGAGTATGATAAAGAAACAAGCGAATCAACTCAATCACAGTTAACGGCCTTGTTTTCATCGTTGATATTTACTGATACGAGAAATCCCTCAATTGTTTAATCTCTTTTAAGTATGGATTATGTACAACCATATAGATCCTAATGAGCTACGAATAACCTAAGAATAGCTCGAGTCCTTGGTTTATTGCTGTCGAGATATTGCATAATTATGATATTTTTTATAATTCAATGTCACAGGAGCCTTCAAAAACACTAGGAAAAGTCATTTTTGAATTTCGATTTAAAATTTTCCATAGACATAATCTAGACTAGAAAGTAATTAATCATTTGAAGGATGTCCCTCATCATTCAACTTGTATGGAAATTCTAAGCAACAAATTGTAATTTAATGATGAAAAAATATCTGAATTTAATATTTCAAATAGAAAAACGTTTAAACATACAGCTGCTGTTTCCGATTCACCAGCATCAGTTTGAACAGCTTCTTCAGCTTCTTTAACCATTAAATCGTAACGTGTTTGAAGTTCTTCGAGTTGTTTCCATTTTGTTGCATTGGCATGTCGTTGAGCATTGAGACGATTTTTTAAATCACCTAGTTGTTCATTGGTTAATTGAATAGCTGCCTGAATAATTTTATATAGAATTAATAATCATAATAATAATAAATAGGAATCAACTTACTTGACCTGTTTTATTTTTAAGTGCTGCTCTTTCATCTTTTCGACCACTGAATGCTTCATTTAAAACTTTTTCATCACCCTATACAATTAATATGATATTTTTTTTTATTTCTATATCAAATAATGAAAATTTTTATTTATGGAAGCCTTAGAAAAGATGAAAATTCTAAATTTTCTTAAAGTGATATAAGAAAAAAAAACAACAACTTACTTCAAGTAATTCTTTAAGTTTTTGTCGTTTTTCCTTATTTTCTTTTTGTAATTGAGCAATTTTTCGTTTATTTTTATCAGTTTGTAAATCAACTTGTTCAATATAAGCTTCTTGGCTACCAGCTAAAATTCAAATGCATTTAAATTTCTCGCCTACACTTTAAACTACCAACATACCTAAGAGTTCGCGTTTTTTGCGTAACTCTTCAATCTGTTCAGACATAGATAATTTATATTGATACTGTTCATTGGCTCGAGCACCCGATGGCATGGTAAAGAATAAGAAACTACTTCACTGCTTGAGTCTTGCAAACAAAAAAAACCTGTTTCCTAATGTATATGTATTTGTTGACTTTACAACCATTACAAGAACAAGTTGCTTAGCAATGAAAGTTTCTTTTTTGATCTTATTATAAACAATAATAAAAATAAAATAAAACTAAGTATATTTTGTTTTCAATACCATTAAATAAAACATAAAATTTAAAAATATAATATAAATATTATCTAAAAAAAGTGACATCTGTCAATGATGGCTAACATGATTCAGAGTCATTCATTGATGTATGTAGGTGTGTATGTAGTTGAATTGCATTTGCGCAATAATATTATGAAATTACTGCGCATGATTAAGTAAATATACGTCATCCCATACATTGCAAACGATAAAAAGCCATATGAATTAGCGTATTTCTTTGTAGTTAAAATATAGAATAGATTAAATATTTTTAGTGTAAAATTTTCTATTACTCGCAAAGTTGTGCAATGCCTAAATTCATTTATCGATCTACTACAAATGATGAACTTTATAATGAAATAAAAAGTCTTCGTTCAAGTAAAACAAACAAACGATTAAGACGTTTACGTACATTCGAACGTATTTATTACAAAAAAACATGTGAGGTTACAAAAACGTAGGTTAATTAATAATATTATTATTTTATTATAATTGAGTAAACATTTCTTTTTTTAGTGGTCATAATTTAGAAGATGTACATCGTCTTGATGATGGAAATTTACGTTATACAACACATAATTTAACTTATTCATTAAATAAAAAAAAACGTTGGTTATTACCTGATATTATCCAAGAACGCATATGTGAATACGATCCTACTGCTCAATCTTCTCAAGTAAAAAAAGGTGATCAAGTATCAAATATTGATGAACGACTTAAAATTGTTATGTATGAAAATGAAAATATTCATCATTCATCTACTTGTTTACGCTATTCTAATAATCAAACAGTACCACAAATTTTACATAAAAATGGTCGAAGATTTAATTCAAAAACATTAACAAGATGGATAAATTTTGATACACGTACACGTTGGCATAGTCATCATCGAAATCATAGTGATGATCGAGTGAATCAACCGAATTTTGGTATACAACAACGACCAGGATTTTTTCCTAGTGAAGTCACTTATACATTTTTATATCCAAAACGTCTACCTTCATCTGAAATTCATAAAAATGGCAAAACATCATTATCATATTGTAGAGCTCATGATGTATATGAGTGGCCTGGACGAAATATGAGAGATACAAATAAAAATCGACGAAAAATACGAAGAAATGAATGTATGAAACTTGGTTTCGATGACTATGCATATGATTTTGAAGAAGAAGAAGAAGAAGAAGATATTAATACAAATGAATTTATACTTGCATCATCAAATTTTATTGATGAAGATGAAAAATGGTCTATTGTTTTTGAAGAATTAGGTAAATTTTTATCAGTTTATTTTCAATAGAAAACTAATTCTAATCATTTTAGATAATCAATACTCAGCTTCTATTGATCTACCAATTGAATATTTTATCCCTTCAATCTCATCTAACTGCAAATCTTCTTCTCTTTCGAATGATTGTTCATCAGATGTTAACAATGATCGTAAAGCACATAAATATTTCGAACCATGGCCACTATCTGATAAAAAAATTACTAAACCTTCAATTATTACCGAAGATTTACTATGTTCTATTCCATGTGAAAATGAATCAGATTTTCTTTCTTTAATGCAACAATCAGCACTGAAAATTTATCAAGCAAATCTTTCACCACTAATATTTCTTCAACGTACATCAACATCATCTTTTTCTGTTATTTATACATATTGTCGAAAATCATCTACTGTCGAAGCAGTACTTAAATTTATTGATTTACCTCCAAATATTACTTTCAATGCAAAAGAAATAACTTTAGAAAAATTAATTGAATTAATATCTAATAAATTAGATGAAAATCAAATAGAACAAAATAATAAACTAACTAATAATACTCGTATAGATGTTGATGCATTACGTGGTTCATTACCATTACCATTAAATATTACACAACAAATGATTTTAGTTCGACCTAAATCAACAAATAAACTAACAGCATTGAAAAATGAAAATCTTATTAATCATAATCAAAAACAGCAAGAACAATGGTATGACACAACAGATGATGAATATGAAATATTAGAATGTTCAATCTGTTGTGATACTTTAACTACTAATGATGCTTATCAACTTCTTCCTTGTATGTATTTTTTCTTAAAAAAATCTTCGATCTAGTTTAATGATCTTTTCTTTTACAAAAAAAAAACAAATAGGTCATCATACAATATGTCATTCATGTTTAAAATCATATATTTGTACAAGTATATCATCAGCAACATATTCTTCATCCAGTACATTACCTATAACTTGTTTTCAACAAAATTGTACAACACAATTAAATTCATCACTTCTTCAAGCATTTGTTTCATATGAAATCTATCAATCATATAATCAATCATTACTTGATCGTCATTTATTTTCAACAGGTAATTATCGTAAATGTCCATCACGTATATGTGTAAATTTACTTATTGTTGATGATAAAACAAAATCCTCATTAATGTGTTCATGTGGTCAACGTGTTTGTTCAGAATGTTTAGAAGAATATCATTTTCCAGCAACATGTCAACAATATAAATCTTATTTAACACGTTTACATGAAAGTGGTGATGATTTATTAAGTATATCAAAAATTGGAGATAATTCACATTGTTATATAGCTGAAGGAAAAAATTGTCCAAATTGTGGTGAATTTGTTGAAAAGAATGGAGGTAAATTTTGTAAAATAACAACAACAACAAAAAAAAAAAACAGAAATCAATAAAATAAACCTTTGCATTATTATTTAAGGTTGTCCTCATATGACATGTAAATGTGGTAATGAATTTTGTTGGATGTGTTTAAATCGATGGGTAACACATAATTATTCAACTTGTTTTCATGTACCTGAATCAACACATGAACTTCGTTCATCAACACGAAATCGTTTACATAATAAAGCAGTAAATCATCGTCGTGAACGTAATCAATTTTCATTTAATTTGTTATCACAATCTGCACGAGCACTAACAATTCCTTCAACAGCTTATAATATAATTTTATCAACTTATATTGATTTAAATACATTAGCAGAATTTCTTTATGTTTTATTACAACGACGTCGTACTGATACTAATATTCGTGCTGTTTTAAGTCGAACAGCTAAACGTTTAGAATTAGATGCATTTCAAATAAAATTACAACTTCAATGTAAACAAATTAAAATGGAATATATTGAACAAATGCGATTAAGACTTGAACGAACAGTATCAAGTTTATTGCATATGAAAAGAAACAATATTTTAATATAAATTATTTATTTATTTATTTTTTTTTTCTCTTTTGGCGAAGCATTCGAAATTTAAATTAGTTTATATATTTTGTATTATTTGTTTTTATATAGTCACTTTAGACCTGTGATATGAATATATATATATGTAATAAACTTTATAATGGGGTTGCAAGTTTCAGTAAATTTTTCATTTTATTTTTTAGCATCACGCAGAATAGAGAATTATTAGTTTTTTGTAATGCGGAAAGCATATTGAAATTTATTTCTACATAGCATATAATAAATTGTATCTGTACTAAAAACGTTATCTTTCTGAAGAGCCAATTCTCAATCAATGCTTATCACTTGTCCGAACTTACGAAGACAAGACTCCTGAAAATTCGCGTAAAATGTTTCTAGATTTACGCATTTTCGCCCATTTGTGCAATAAACTTGACAAGTTTTACCATATTCAACGGCAGCAACATGGATTAACCTTGAAAAATCGATTAAGCAAAAGTATTTACTTAAGTGTGTTTTACTAGGTTCAACAATGACTCGTTATTTTCCACCTTTCTTAAGCAAATGAACAGGTTTAAATGGCTTTGTTTCTTGAGATCTATTACAACAGAGGATTTGTAGTCTGATCACGTATAGTTGCATGAACACACTTGATGTGAACATTATTATATATAAATCATTCTGATTGAGCATGTTACCACTGCCAAAACGAAAATTGAGGTATTGAGAGCAGGGGTCTTGATTAGAGGGACTCTGCTCAAGCAAATGTCCGATTCTTTGATAGCTTTTGTGCAATTTTGTTGTAAATTTGGATAAAAAACAAATTTTGAAACAACATTTGTCTTTCTCTGGTAAAAAATGAAATAAAAACATATAGACAATGTTGTTGCAAGATAAATAGGATTGTGACGGTGGCTATCATTTTTTCCTCGTTCATCGCTTCTAGCACTTCGAGGATAAAAGCATTTTCTACGAGAATTTTCAACTTTCGTTCGTCCTCAAAAAAACAAATATTGTCAACTCTGATCCGTACTATTGGAATAGTTAAATGCCTAGCCCTGATCTTTCATCACAATCACGAATTATTTTTTAACAATCATACAAAAAAAGATGCTTTTAAAGACGTGAGTGAGGCTACATTTTTTCTGTATATGTGTAAGATTATGTCAGTTTCTATTCTCTATTTTTTTAATTCGTCTATGTACTATTAACCTTTCTGAGAGATTTTAAAATTATTCTATTTTCATTTGTACATAAATAAGCATTGCAAGTTGTCAAGGTTTTATAATCAATAAATGAGCGAAGAAAAAAAACAATGTAGGAAAGAATATATTGAAATTGAATGTTGTTAATAGCAAAAGACAAGTTTAACAGTAATACAATGGAAAATTAACAGCATTTTTTTCATCATCTTACAAATCTTTAAGCCATGTTGACTGAATAGAATCCATTAAATTTTATCAGAAACTGTTTGCTTTTTTTCTTAATATTAATACCCCTTTACATTTATCATGATGATGAAAAACTCTTTTTATTTCTCTTCACATCGATTGATTGTACTTAGATTAAACGAACAAACAGGTTATTATACCAAAGCCCAGAATATATCA